CGGCAACGGCAACGACAACGGCAACGGCAACGACAACGACAACGACAACGACAACAACAACAACAACAACAACAACAACAACAACAACAGCAACAACAACGGCAACGGCAGCGGCAACGGCAACGGCAACAACAACAACAACAACAACAACAACAACAACATAATAAAGTTCCAAGGGTGTGTTCGGTAAGGTACGGGTACGCTCGGTAAGGTATTGAAATCTTACCGAAGCGTACCGATAGTTTCGGTAAGGTAGTGAAACCTTACCGAAGCGTACCGAGATTTCGATAAGGTATTGAAATACTACCGAAAGCATACCGAGAATTTCGGTAAGGTATTGAAATCTTACCGAAGCGTACCGAGATCTCGGTAAGGTGTTGAAATATTACCGAAGCATACCGAGAATTTCGGTGATGTATTGAAATATTACCGAAGCATACCGAGACGCCCGGTACGGTAAATACCCTCGGTATTTGCCGTCGGTATGCCTCGGTAGTACCCCACCGAACACACCATTGAAATGCTGTATAAACCTTTGGACTGTTTGTTATGCGTCGATGGTGGTGCTACAAAACGTTGAAACGTAAACGTTCCTCTCGCCAGCAGCCGTTCTCTTCCAAATGTACCATGCTGCTCGTCCGCCGCTACACCATCCATGTCAGCGGGCCTGCTGTTCTTCACCTGCAAAGGAGCGGTTGGTTGCGCTTGGATACAACAGACGCAACAACATATACACTCGATGCAAATCCTGGTGCCTGGTGCCTCGAGACAGCACCCTACAAGAAAATCTCGCCATGTTGCAACGCGCACCCACACACCCCATCACTATACCCTTCTTCTCGCCATAAAAATATGTCAGGCAGGAACCGTAGGAGGGGGTCCAACCCCCCCCTCCTGTGTGACCCCGGTTGGGTCGTCTAGCTGGTAGAAGTGGAGGATAGGGGCCAGAGGGGCACGACAGAGTCCAATGATGGGAGACACACACACACCCGCCGTCACTGTTACGCCTCGCCCAAACCCATGGCATCCACGGCCGGTGCCGTGGCGTTGTGCAGGAGTGCTCGATAGATCTATCGCGTCGCGTGTTCCCAGACAGGCATGGTCTTGCGATGTTCGGGAGGGTGCAGCAGTTGCGTGTTCGGAATCGGAAGGGGTACAACAGTTTGCAGTCAAATTGTTGTGTGGTGGATGGAGAGAGTGACGTCACAGTGTGTCGGTAGGGGTATGGGCGTCTGTACCGGTACAGGCACCTCGGTGTTTGTGTCAAGGGTATACCGAGACTTTCGGTAAGGTATTGAAATCACACCGAAGCGTACCGAGAATTTCGGTAAGGTATTGAAATATTACCGGAGCGTACCGAGACGCTCGGTACGGTAAATACCGTGGGTATTTACGATCGGAATGTCTCGGTAGTACCTTACCGAACACACCCTTGTAAAGTTCCACACCATACTGCTACCACCAACACCATTATCAACGACAACAACCGACGAGCTTCCACCCGCGCACCTTGCCGTACACCTCTTCAATTCTCCCGTTGGACAGCTTCAGCCCCTCTTCCGCCTCCCTCGCGGCCGCCCACCCCCTGGCGGCATTGGCCCTCTCGTCCTCCCATCCCTTCGAGGACACCAGCCCCTCCTCGCGGACCTTGGACAGCTCTTCCTTCAAAGCTTCGAGGAAAGCTTCCGCCTCCGCCTTGCCGCGAGATAGCTGGGGGTAGAATAGGGGTCGTAGAACTCGGATTAAATCGAGGTAAACACACGTGCACGCGTGCGTGCGTGCGTGCGTTGCCGCGAGATAGCTGCGGATGGGATGGGGGTAGAACTCGGAGTAAATCACGCCAGACATGTGCGTAGGGGACAGCAGGGAATGCTCTTGTTTGTGGGGTCTTGGGAACGGCGACGTATGAGGAAGGAAGGGGTGGTGGGAGGCGACAATAATTTTAAGACCAATCAGCTGCTGAGGGCGGAGAAAAAGATCAAGTAGAATAGAGGAGTGGTGCAGTTGTCGCGTGTACGTGCGGGAGAAAATGCTTAGTGGCAAAGAGCGAAGCTCGCGAGCAAGACCCACCCGCGGCAAGCAGCAGAAAAAACGATATCAAGAACAACGGCGGAAGCAACAGCAACGGCAACAGTAACGACAAAATCAGCAGCAAGCAACGTCAGCATTAATAAAGTCGGCAAGCACCAGCAACAACCGCCAGCAACAGCAACAACAACTACCACCTCCACCACCACTAGCAACAACGAGGACAACTAGCATCACAACAACAACAACCGCTCGCCTCGTCCCGCTCGGCAGACGCGGCCTCGAGCTTGACCGTAACCGCTGCTCTAAGGCGCTGCTCCCCCGCCAGATCTCCTCTCAAGGCTGCGATCTCAAGGTCCTTGGCGCGGGCCTCTCTACCCGCACATCCCAATGCCTCCTCCTTCGAAGACAACACCTGAGTGGGTGCCCGGCCAGTTCAACGCAAAGGTTTGTTGCCATGGACGTGTGCTCATGCCGGGAAATCGTGAGAGGGGCAAAGATACGGGAGTTCCCCAACAAAAGAAATAAGCACACATGCATGAAACAGCGCATATATGTGTGATCTGTTCAACACCATGCAAAACACCCGAGCAGCATCTTCTGCCTTCTACGCCCTCCAAGCACACGAAATACACAGTCCGACACAGGGTATGACCCTCAAGCTTCTGAAACCCACCCTCTCGAGGTCGGCCACGTTCTCCTCGGCCCGTCTCAGGGACACCTCTCCTCGCCTCGCGGCCCTGGCATGAGAATCTTCCAGTCTCCGACGGGCATCGCTCTCTTGTTCCGATAATCTCCGGATGTCCTCTGCGTTTCTCGATTCGATCTGTTTTGTTTGTGTGCGAGAGAGAAAGAGAGAGAGAAAGCGAGAGGTAAACGGGGGCATGATCGAGGGGCGGGGGGGAGGGAGAGCTGTGCATTTTATTGCATTCTTGTTATTTGTTATCGTTTGCCTGACAGCGTGGTACACTACCTACTTACCACGGTTCCTTTTGCACATCAGCAATCCTCGCAGTTGCATCAGTTACTACTCCCCGAAGCAATGTACACATTCGCATACAGGTACGGAAACCACTCATTCCGCATAAGAAATTCTTCCCTTCGTCTTCCGCACTGCTGAAATACGTCAAATCTTATCGTGCAACGACATTGTTTTCGATTGGACAAGGGTTGCGTTTTTGTTATTGCTTACGCGTTCAATGAGCACACGGAACCGCCCGGCAACAAGCATCACACATGAGATGCGCATAACATGCCCGAACTACCGTACCTTACAAAGTCGCTGTCCTTGAGCTGCCACTAACTGGGATTCTCGACCGGGCACAATCGCCAGAGGCAGTTAGCTGCGAACACCACACCAACTTCTGTCTCATTTTAGCTTCTCCACCCAACCCCCGCCCCCGGTGTTTGCCATCAGGGTTGGGTTTTCGTCGCTTGGCAACGACGCTGCAAAACAAGCCCCCCCCCGGTGTTTGCCATCGGGGTTGGGTTTTCGTCGCTTGGCAACGACGCTGCAAAACAAGCCCCCCCCCCGGTGTTTGCCATCGGGATTGGGTTTTCGTCGCTTGGCAACGACGTTGTAAAACAAGCCGCCCCCCCCGGTGTTTGCCATCGGGATTGGGTTTTCGTCGCTTGGCAACGACGTTGTAAAACAAGCCACTTCACTTCGTGAACTCGGCAACCAGGTTACCGTTTTTTTTTTTTTCCTCCGTTTATTTTTTTTGGGCGGTAACCATAATGATGGTTGAGTAGATCATGTTGTGCGGGGTGAACCCTCACTCCGCGCAAGGGGGATGATCGCACCACGTTGTGTTGAAATGGTCAAGCACCCTCGAGGCAGTTACACAGTGCTTACAACTGTCTCTGGAAGTGAAAGCACCAGAAAATAAATTAATTCATACGCAGCTGTCATCCGTACGCAAGGAAGTAAGCACAAGATGCCGAACACCCTTAGCAGGATGCAGCGCACCCTTCATGCGACTCGCCGAATATCTCACGGCGCTTCGCGCTTGGTGATGTGAGAGCCTGGTCCGGTGAGAATCCGTCGTGCTCCGTCCCGGCTTTGTAGGGATGCGAGGTCAATGGTCTAAAGACTACGGCATGCACGACAATGAGTACACCCCCCACCCACTGGTCGTTTCTCGAGCAAGTTGGATGTCCATCTTGTCACTATTGATGTCCTGCAGGACCCCCGCCATGTTGTGCTCTGTGTTTTTCGATCGTCCCTAAATACATGGTATGACGGACCTTGAAAAGCAGCTCCTGGGAATTTGTGTCTGTGCTTCCGTGCCATCTAGTCTACACCTCTCGGTACAATACGTTCGACGCACCCGTCAGGGTCACACAGGAGGACATGAAAAACACAGGGAAAAAAAATCCCCTCAAACTTGCCTCGTGCCGTGCGTGCCTTCAACTGTGCGAGATGGGCCCATCTGTTCCCTCACACACCATGTCAGGAAAATGAACACCTCACGTGCCGTACTTGCGCCGCCGTTACAGCAGTACGGGCTTCCAGCACGCCAGCGAAAATGAACTCGAGCGATTATGCACTCAAGCAAAAACATGCTCAAGCAAGCATCTACTCAAGCAACAATGTACCCAAAGCGAAAATGAAACTCAAGCGAAATAAAATTAGTGGACGCGGCGCCCTCTCACCTGAGCCACGAGCCCCTCGGCCTCCGCGAGAGCCGCCGCCCGCCGCGCCCCCGCTGCGCGCTCCCGGCACGCCGCGGCCTCCGCCGCCGCCGCCCGCGACCGCAATTCCCCCTCTCGCGCCTCCGCCGCCTGGGCGAAGGCATAGAGCGAGTCGGCCACGAGCAGAGCGTCTGCGCCGCCGCCGGCCTGTTTTGTGGGTAGGCGAGGAAGAGCGTGTGTTGCGCGCGGGGGGGGAGGGGTGTACCGGTGTGCGTGAAGATTGTGGAAGGAGGTAGTTTTTGACGATCACGGCGGGGGCTTGAGAGGCGGTGAAAGACATTAAAAGGCTCGGTATCTGTAGCAAACGCTTGGTTCGGGTTGTTTCGTGGCAGGATACATGGAGATCACCAAAGGCGACGTTGATATGGACATGGTACGGTTGGATTTGTCCATAATTTAGTCCCTGCCGCCAATAACGTCCTTTCAAAAAAATATGGTCACAACAGTGCGACATTTTCCTGCAGATATGCGTGCGGTGGCCGGTGATATTCCAGAGGGAGGGTCAAATCGCCATTCCCTCCGTGTCTCGTCCTGCCGTATCGTGGGCCGGGTGTGCAAGCATGAACATGCTGAAGTAGGAATGGTTAAGTGAGGTCTCGGGGACTACACCACCCACACTCGCCTCAAGAGTATTTGTCTGCTGAAAACGTGTCGAAGTGTGCTGTTCTCTGCTTGAATCTTCCATCCTCCCTGCTTTCTGCTATCGCAAGGGGGTATCCATACGCTGCCGCAACCCGCACAACGGCTCGATTGGCCATGATAATCTTGTTCGTCGTCCTTACCCTCTTACCACACACAGCCGCTAGTCAGCCGCTAGTCAGCGCGACAAGGCGTCAATTTTTGCAACACGGACTATCCCTCTTGCTCGGAAAGTGGGCACCTACGACATCACCTTGACAAAGGCTGCCTTTCGACGACCCCCCTCCCCCCACAACTCCGTCCTCTCCAGGACGTGTGGTCAATGGCCTAACCGCTAAGGCACGAAAAACACGAGGGTACGCCCCCCCCATCTCCTCCATTCTCCATCCTCTCGAGGACGCGCGGTCAATGGTCTAACCGCTAAGGCAGGCAACATATGAGCACCCCTCCCCACTAGACACAATTGGGTTGGCGCTGTTGGCAAAGTGCTGTAAAACACGCCACCCCAAACCTATAGCCCCAATAGTATGCTCTAAATTCCAAAGACGCGTGACGCATGGATGCGTGTAGTGAGGATAGCTGTTTACGGAAACCTCACAGGTTGAGTGATGTATTAGATTGCCGGACACATGGACGTGTTGAGTGATTATAGCTGTATACTAAAACCTCAAGGGTTGAGTAAGGTTTGAGATTGCCAGACACATTGACGCGTTGAGTGGGGATAGCTGCATACTGAAACCCCACGGGTTGAGTGATGTTGGAGTGCCGGACACATTGACGCATTTAGTGAGGATAGACACATACTGAACCTCACAGGTGATTTGTGATGGAGATTGCCGGACACATAGATGTGTTGAGTGAGGATAGCTGCACACTGACACCTCACAGATGCATTGGTTTTTGAGTTTGCCAGACACATAGACGCTTTGAGTGAGGATAGACACATACTGAGACCTCACGGGTTGAGTAACGTTTGCAACTGCCCGACACATAGACGCATTGAGTGAAGAAAGCTGCATACTGGAACCTCACAGATGGATTGTTTTTTGAGTTTGCCGGACACATAGACGCGTTGAGTGAGGACAGCCGCATACTAAAACCCCACTGGTTGAGTGATGTTGGATAGTGCCGGACACATAGACGCCTTGGGTGAGGATAGCTACATACTGAAACCTCTCAGGTGATTTGTATTGGAGATTGCCGGACACATAGACGTTGAGCAAGGATAGCTGCATACTGAAACCTCACAGATGGATTGGTTTGTGAGTTTGCCAGACACATAGACGCGCTGAGTGGGGATAGCAATAAACCTCACGAGTTGAGTGATGTTGGATAGTGCCAGACACATAGACGCGCTGAGTGGGGATAGCAATAAACCTCACGAGTTGAGTGATGTTGGATAGTGCCAGACACATAGACGCGCTGAGTGGGGATAGCAATAAACCTCACGAGTTGAGTGATGTTGGATAGTGCCAGACACATAGACG